AGGAACGCCACCAACTCCTCCAGGAAGGCCACCAACTCCTCCAGGAAGGCCAGCAACTCCTCCGGGAATTCTACTGATGCCTCCTGGAATGCCAATAAATGCATTGCCATAGAATAAGTTGTGATAGAATAATAAAGCTGGGAGAAGTAATGACTGTAGTGCAGTGTGGAGTAATGACTATAGTGCCTGTGAAGTAATGACTATTGTGCAGTGTGGAGTAATGGCTGTAGTGCAGTGTGGAGTAATGACTGTGGTGCTTTAGGGTCATTACCGTATTTAGCTGCTTTGGCCTGGGCTTTAGCCAGACTGAGTGCACCCACACCTGCAGAAAGAGCACACAAGATTTCAGAAAGACATCAACAGTGCCTCAACCCAAGACTTGGGTATGGGTGGTAAGGACATGCTCCTATCAACCCTATTGGAGTACTGAATTGTCCCTACCAATATGTTTTAGCGCTGTTTAGTGCGAAATCAAGCATGCATCCCAATATTTTTTCATTCCTCGTCTGCACTCACTAGCTCATTGTTGCCCTATTTAAAGTTCACAGAGGAAATTAGGGAAGGAAATTACACATATCGAGGTTCACCCTGATGTGTGTGGTTTGTGACTTCCAGAAATGCCTGGGAGTGTGCAGCCACTGGAGAATTTTTGCATGGCTTCAGTGAGTAATCTTTTGTGAGGGCACAGAGTGCTAAGCTCACGGTGACAAGCAAGCTTCATTCACTTTTACATTTAATGCTCACTGTGCTGGCAACAAATGATATAGCTAATGTCTCGTGGTTTTATGTAAAGGTTCCTTAGGGTTTTCCAAATTAGTTATTGTTGCATCTTTACTATTCTTTAATTCTTGCACTTTGACTTTGATATTTTTATTATTGTCTATTTTTATAATTCATTTAGTTCGAAAACATATTTTATGAGTAAATTGTTGCAGTTAAAATCTTTAGGTATCCAGTGAATATCATTTTGAAGTCTGAGTGTATATTTAGGGGGGTGGGCTTTGGGCTGCTGATTTGGGCCCTACCAACTTTGAAACCAAACCTACTCCCTTGCCCCATCCCTTTTAATGTGTCAAAAACACAGTGGGAAAGTTGATGCTACATTCAGCATTAGATAAGCCTGAAAATACCTGGATTGTAATCCTGGAACTAATGTTGTAGAGGAATGTTTCTTAAATATGTTGTTAGTGCAGTGTAGACTACTGCATCGGTCCAAATCTGCTTATCATGTAGTGTACCAAAAGCCAGCAGCGGTGGTCACAGTCCTGCAGAGGTGGACATTTCACCTCCAGGGGGTAAAAATCCAGGCCAAGATTGTTTCAACCAACCAGTTGAGTACTCCGTGATTGTTACTCTTTATACTGAACTGGTTGGTTGAAAAAAAATCTTGGTCTGGATTTTTACTTTCTGCACTTGAAATGTCCACCTCTGCAGATGTGAGTTGTTTTCCGTCAGCGACCATACCCTGAATTTTGGGGGAGGTCAAGGGGTAGCCACTGAAGATTCCTGGCTGGCGCAGAAATGCATCACGGCCTCCTGCAAAGACAATTACTGTGGTACGTACGTGGGATTTTCTGAAGAATCCATATATGCAGGTTAATAACCACACTCATTCGCTTACACACAGTGATCCGCATATGCATGTTAACAGCAGCATGCACAGTCACAACTATATACCTAAACTCAAAGAATGTACGCATATGTGCACATATACCAGAAAACAAGGAATCATTACTACCTTATTATGTACTTACGTTATTGTCCTAATTGTCCTAAACTTATATTGTCTATAAGTTAGAATGTATCCAAACAAAGTATGAATAAGATACATTTAACTGTACATTTGAATGTTCCTAAATAAAACTTGCATTTGTAACTAATCAAACCAGTTTAGAGCAATGCTTACCAGTAGCTCCATATATACCCTGCCCAAGTTGGCCCGTCCCTGATGGATGAAGCAGAATAGAAACTGAGAAGGAGATATGTGAAATTGCAAAGGTAATATCTTTTATTTACCTAAAGGGGTTGAACTTGATAGAAAATCGACAGATGATGCAGAGATGAAGAAATCAAATGAGAGACATACTGTACTGTATCACTGAAGCCTTACCTTGTGGCTGAAGTTCTGCCCCTGTCACCACACCAGGCACTGTCCCCCAACCACCGAGACCTTAGAGGGGAAATAGATTAATTGGCTTCTACTGGCCAAAGACTCAACAGCATCTAAGGGAACACAAGGGAATGTAATTGCAGAAAGATACCTTGCGCTGGTACAAGTCCACGCTGATAGAGTCCAGGTATTCCCACACCTACATCCACACAATAGATAGAGAACAATTATGGGTTTCACTGGGTAGGAGCATCAGCACAGAAACTCAGATTTCCTGCTATCAGTTCCATCATGCAAGCTCTCCAGAAAATCGGTTTTCATAGCTAACATGCAGAGCAGGGCTTTGGAGGTGATAAGTACTGAACTCTGATAAATACTGAACTGGTGCTGAAGGATTATACCTGAAACTATTAGGTTGTAGGATTGATTGCAAGGTATTATTGATACTGTACTCTTTAGAAAGTTTTATTTCGGTGGGGGGTTGGATAAGTAAATAAGCAAGTGAGCAAAAAAGTGGAATGAATGAATGAATGAATGAAACCTAGTTAGGCAAACATACAAAGATTATTCATAATGAAGTTTGAGGGCCATGCAAATTACAGGAGTTCCCAGGAAAAACAGCAAAACCAGATGGCCTTGACATATGGGAAAAATGGGAATGATGGCAGGTATGACATAAATTAGGGAATTATAAGAGTCATCAAACAGGTTTGGTTTGTTTCCTCTTTACCTTACCTGGTACTTTTGAGGCCTTCCCTCTGGCTCCCCCTACTGGCAGACCAGTTTGGGGAATAACAGGAACTAGCAGGGAGAAATGTGATAAATGGCAGTAGGATACTGGTTTATCATTGTTATTGCTGTATTATGTTAATTGTCTTACCTCCAGCTGCACCTGGCCATGCTGCTCCTCCTGGACCAACCCCTCCCAGCCATGTTCCTCCAGCTCCACCTAGGCACACATTGACGAAGCAACGTACACTATATGGACAATAGAAATGGGACACCTGGCCATTACACCCACAGGCACTTTTATGACGTCCCATCCTAAATCCATAGGCATCAATATGGAATTGGTCCCCCCTTTGCAGCCATAACAGCTGCCACTCTTCTGGGAAGGCTTCCCACAAGATTTTGGAGTGTGTCTGTGGGAATTTTTGCCCATTCCAGAAGAGCATTTGTGATGTGAGGCAATGATGTTGGTCATGAAGGCCAAGCTCTCAATCTCCATTCTAGTTCATCCCAATCGGAAGCATACAATTGTCTAAAATGTCTTGGTATGCATATTAAGACATTTGAAGTGTGTCTATGGGAATTTTTGCCCATTTCTATGCTTCTAACTTTGTGGCGTTTGGGGAAGGCCAATTTCTGTACCAGCATGATTGTGCCCTAATGCACAGAGCAAGGTCCATAAATACATAGTTGGGTGAGTTTGGTGTGGAGGAACTTGTCTAGTCTGTACAGAGCCTTGATCTCAACCCCATTGAACACCTTTGGGATGAACACAGCAACTACCCTGCTATATTCACCTATGTTTAACTTTTGGTGCACTAACTTAACGATTTTTCCAGGTTTAACACCAACTCCTTGCAAAAGAAAAAACACTATAAATAGCAGCAGAAAATGAGTTCCCCTTACATATCAGAAGCTCTTTAAACAGACAGTGGAGAAACCTCACAATGCTACATAGATATGAATCAGTCTTCGAGTCCTCGAACCTGCCAGAAGGCCTCCTGCTGCATGTCCACCAGCACCCAGACCACCAGGTCCCAATCCTCCACGTCCTATTCTACCAGGACCAACCCCAATAAGTCCAAGACCACTTGGTCCTACTCCAGCCAGCACCAGTCTACCAACTCCTACTCCATCTGGTCATATTCCACCAAGTACCAATCTCTCAGTGCCTATACCTTGAGCCCCATATCCACCTACAACTGTATAATGTACAGATCAGTCTTTCTCAAAGATTTGGGAGACATGGAAATATGACTTGATCTTTAGCTCACCTGTCTTGCCAGGTTTTCCTTCAACTCCGGCTGGAAAATTGTCAGACTAAAATTAATCAGTTTCTCTGAATTTCTTTCTTCTGAAGACAAACTAGCAACTTTACCTGGCCTAAATCCCAGACCACCAATTCCACCAAGTCCACTAGCTCCAATTCCACCAGGTCCTGCTTCACCTGGTCTTACACCCGCAGATCCCAGTCCCCCAATGCCTAAGCCAAAAGGCCCATAAGCACCTACATGGGAAAAATACAAATGAATCAGATTTAGCAGAAACAAGAAGAAGAAGGAAAGGCTTGGACATCTGCTTACCTATCTTGACAGGTTTAACACCCACTCTTTAAAAAGAACACATCATTAGATGTGGCTGATGTAGACTCCCTTTTGAAAATTATGCATTATTTAGCTAGAGATAATAATGAGTTTTTCTATCTGTA